AGTGGCAAAATTCCAATTATGAAGTAGCAACGAAAATAACTTTATGCTTGGGGGTTACAACAACATGAAGAACTGTATTAAAGGGTAGCAGCATTAGGAAGGTTGAGAACCACTGCCCTAGATGTTTTCAGCAGTGAACAGATAGTTAAGACATTATCAGGGACATATGTTTGCATAAACAGATGAAAAGCGTCAAGAACTTCAAAAATTCTCTTGATGGAAACATGTTTTCTGTCTCAACTATCAAGCGAAATACACAGAACAATATATTCCTTTCAAAAAGGGGAAAGAGTCTCATTCGTAGTGTCATAAACTAGAAAATTGCTTTTATTTTATGGAGGGTCACATTTGCCATATAGGAACAAAGTCTTCAGATCTTCGATCAATTACTTGTCCCAATCAGAAAACTGTAATCCTCTTCTTTCTCACAAATGCTTCCAGAATAGAGGACACATTTTTATATAACAGATAGGGCTAATAAATTGCGCCCTCACAGAAACTAACTTGTGGTGAAAGGGGAGTGCATTTACAGTAAACAGGCAGGCCTGCCTTAACATTCAGGTGATTTACCAGCAAAACAGATTCAGTCTCTTTTTTACGATGAGAAATACACAAGAGGAAAATTTTATAATATGCTACTAGACTCTCTGACTTAATACATACTTCTCCTTATTTACTTCTTTTCCAAATCTGTCTTCAAAGAAATGGGATGTGCTTAAAAGCCAAGGAATCACTAATAAAAAAAAAAAAAGGAAGATTATGAAATTACCTGGGGATTTGGATAAGCCTGAAGGATCTTTGAACAACAAAAGAAACTGCAATTTGACTTCTGTTTCCCACCAAGTAATATCTAGGAAGGTCCACAGAATTAAGCAATTTTGTTCTTTCCCAAACTCGTAAGTATCCTTACTACACAGACAGGGCATCATTTCTCCCTGGAAACTTAGTTCTCCTATTTGTGTTTTTAAAAATTGAGGAAGTAATTCTGAGATAAGCTTAAAATGTTCAGTTCCATGGTTTTGTGGGTTGGGAGTTTGTCAGGGTATTTTTTGTTATTGTTACTCCTTGAAGCAAGGTTTCAAAACAATAGACACTTGTTTACTATTCAACGAGTTAAAATTTGATAAATATGAAACCAGATTGATTTGTAAACTTTTTTTTTTTTACCCTCATTGTGTAAACCATTGGTGAAAAACAGATTGAGACTGAAGATACAGGTCAGTTACAAAAGTATCGTTTTGAAAGTATGATCAAAACTATCTCTGAAAGTTATCTTTTGACCCTGACTAAAAAATAACAGTACTCTGAAACTCTCTCCAATTATTAGAAATGATCAGTCTCATATAGTGTGTTCTAAAATGCTTATACAACAAAAGTGGTGACATAGATACACACATGACATATATACACCACCTTAATTAAGCTTTGCATTACTACTTTGTTTGGAAAACTGGAAACTGAAAACCTCTAACATCTAAAAATACATCAGGAGAAGTTGAAAATACCTGTAGCTTTGATAAACAACTCCCTCCTCTGATTCATTCAATTACAAATACGTCTTGAGCTTCTACCATGAATCAATAACTTCTTATAAAGCAATAATGAAAATAGGAGTGCTCATAATTTTAATTTGTAAATCCTTAAACAGAATTTAAATGTACCTCTAAGCTGCTGCATTCCCTTATCTCTTCTAAACATAATTGTGGATTATCATTATATCAACATATTGATATAAAATGGTCGTGTGTCTATATCTGTATAAAAGCAATTAATTCCTAACAATTAATGTATACCAATAAATAGTAAATGAAGAGATTACATCTCTGTTGGTAGTAACTTCTTTTTAGGATTTATCAGATTGTCAAACAGCAGAAATTTATTTTTTTCTTCTGGCAGGGTAATGGCAAAATCTGTATTGTCAAAGCAAATATTGCACCAAAGTTCATTAGGCAAGAAGGTTTTTATACAAGGCTATGGCAATAGGAAAGAGAGACCAGTAATGATATTGCAAAAGGACAGATAAAGAATTTACTTGTTTTGTAAAGCAAATGCTCTAAGGAAAGAAGAGGAGCTTCTGAGGTTAGGCTGCTGCAAAGTGAGAGGGAGGTCAGGGGCCTAGAGGGAGAGAGAAACCTGTCTAATGTTTTGTCAAGCTGAGAGAAATGTCAAGTCTGTCTTGATCAGTACTCAATGCTAAAATAAACATGCAACAAATTAAACTAGTAATACCAAAGCAAATGTATAACCATAGATGTCACACAAAAACAAAGCATTCTTTTCTTTTCCTTTCTTGAGACAGAGTCTCACTCCGTCACCCTGGGTAGAGTGCCTTGGCGTCACAGCTCACAGCAACCTCAAACTCTCAGACTCAAGTGATCCTTTTGCTTCTGGCTCCAGAGTACTTGGGGACTACAGGCACCTGCCACAATGCCCAGCTACTTTTTCTATTTTCAGTAGAGACCCGGGTCTCACTCTTGTTCAGGCCAGTCTCAGAATTCTGGAGCTCAAGCAATTCACCACCTCTGCCTGCCAGAGTGCTGAGATCACAGGCATAAGCCACTGGGCTGGCCAAAAACAACGCAGTCTTTCTATCTTATGTCTATCTGCCTTGCTTTTGTTCCTTAGACCAGTGGTTGGCAATTTATGGGTCTTAAGACAAATACTGATCATAGCATTTGTTTTTTTGAAATTAAGTTTTATCATAATATAGCATGCCCATTTGTCTATGGCTGCTTTGCCCAGAGCTGGGCAGCATCAGACAAACTGTGGGACCCACAAAATATTTACTTCCTGGCCTTTTATAGAAAAAAAACCCTGCCAACTCCTGCTTCATACTATTATTTAGTGTGAACAGGGGCTCTGGCTAGCCTTAATTTTATAAATATGATAAAATCCAATTTACATTTTGGTCACTTGATACCAAATAAGTATCTAAAATGTATACATTTTTAAATTCTTATTGTTTACTCAGGTTAAGAGGCATGAGAAAATACAATATGAGAATACTCTCTTCTTTTTAATTTTCATATATTTACCAATTTTCTATGTCAACATGACCATCCTTCTCAGAAAATAGGAACATGGAAAGGAAGGAATCTAACATCAGCTCACAGAGATATGTTGGAATAAATTTAACTTGATCCTTTCCTTTATTGGGATTCTTTCCAGAAGCAGGTTGTTTTGACTATTTTTAAATCTAACTTTCTTTGGGCGGAACAGTTCATTTTCCTTAGACTGTTAATCAGAGCTGCATTTTAATTGTCCTCAAATATACGAGGCATTTTTCTGAATTATAGACTTTGGCATGGGATGAGCAGATATCAAAGTCACAGATTCCCACTTGGCTGCCCAATTATAAAACAGGTTGCCTTGAAAGGAATGAGCTCCCTGGTAAGTGGATGTGGAAAAGCAGAGGGTTTCCAGATTTGGGACGAAGGTTCAACTGGGCAATCTGTAAGATGTTCCTTTTTTTTCTTTAATCCAATAACGTGTGTATCTTCATTATTTAGGACTGGGCCATCCTATAAACTGAAACAGTATGCAGAATATCTCTACAAGTAATTGACATTCATTGTTCCAGATTTACAACTAGTGATTGTTGTAAACAATCTCCTGAACAGGAGACTGGAGAGAATACTGATTTTGGCCCAATCTACATCCTCCATTAACATTGTTGAAATTGATTATCTGGGTCAGAATCTATCCAGTTCACATGAAAATATGATCTTAATATAAAAGAAAAGGCCTTTAATATATGCATTTCAATAATTTACAAGTTATACATGATATATACACACACACATATATATCTCTGAACCAAATGCACTTAAAACTTAGACCAGGTGTCAAAAAGTAAATTATGGAGAAGTAATGGCCCAATTCTAAACCGTTATTGAAACCTCTCAGTAAGGGGTAGGTGTCTGTATAAGACAATCCTGCAAGCACAGATAGTGGGAATAAGATGGAATCTGTCAGGCCAGGGCAGACATGACACAGCTGGACCTGGGTTGAGGTCCTGCCTGATCTTTACCTTCTGTCTCCCATTCTTACTGTTTTGTAAATTTAGCTCCCACCCTAAAGACACCTATCTTGAGTAGTTTAAGTGGATCGATTTAGGAGATTAACTTTTAAATTAGAATGGTGTCAACTGTTTATAGGTCATGGGTTCTGCTGATTATTATTTAAGATAAGGGTGAACAGGGTCTTTACATTGAACTTAAATTTATAAAACCATAACATTGGAAAGGGAAGATGAGAACAGGCTTGGAGAGGCTACTCACACAGTTATCCAGAATCCTGGCCTCCTGACAAGTACAGTTTAGTGGACCTGTCCCCATCTCTGCAGACTGGCTGACAGTGACAGGTGGCTGGACCCTCTTCGTCCAGTAACATTTCCACATTTGCTATAATGTTTGGGTTCTAGGAGTGCTAAGTAAATTCATTGTTTTATTGAGTTCACAGTACTGATATAAGAATAATATAATATTTATATTTCCCTAATATTTGGGGAAAGATACCACTATGGCTCTAGCTGTATCTCCAACACTAAAGGACTTTGTAAACTTGTACAAATCTGAGCTTTGGTTTCCTCAGATATCCAATAAGGCATTGGTTCTCAAACTTTAGAGTACACGAGACTCTCCTGGAAGGTGTATTAGTATAGATTGCTAGGCTCCACTCTTAAAGTTTCTGATTCAGCAGGTCTGCGGTGGGGTGAATAATTTGCATTTCTGAGTGACCAGATGCTGCTGGCAACTGCTTGTGAAGAGACCACAGTAGGAGAACAGAGCAAAGGTGGAGAGGATGATGTTAGTGAATCACCAGATCATTAATACTTCAGCTGTCAGAGAGAGAGAGTAGTCGGCCTCAACCATGCACAAAGAAATGTAATCCTCTTTTTAATCAAAGTTTCATTTGAATTAGAAGCAAGATGAATGTTCTTTTCTTTCATTAGATTTCAACAGGGATTTTTGACCACATAAATGTTCCACAGTACTTACGTCATAGCTTGATAAATGGATTCAATCCCATAGCGCATGGCGAACTCATCAACTATTTCTTGGGCTGCATCATCAAAGAAAACCTTCCAGGCTTCATCTCCTTTGACATCTGGGATTTTCACTCCACCATTAGATTTCACTTCAGTTAAATAATGGAACAGATTCTAAAAGCAAGTGGTTTTCAATTGTTCAGTGATTCTTCAGAACGGGCTAGAAATATTTAACTATAAGCTTCAGTAAAATGCACTTATAGTCTCATCACTCTAATATTGCATCAGCATCTATAAGCAACAGGAATATCATAGATTTTTTTTCTAACTTACTTCATTGTTGAAAAATCCTCTTTTGCTTCTGGCTGGGCCTACAGAGAATCAATGATTCAAATGTTTCGTACATGAAAAACCATTTTCAGAAGGAAGGAAAAGTGTTTGCATGTAGACATGTCTATGTCATAGAACATATTTTGCATTCATAGGTTCTGAGTAAATTATAATGCCCTGGATGAATGAATAATGTGATTTTGGCTACATGAACACAGAATTTAGTTATGTAAATGATACTAAAGGGCTTCAGCTGCAAAATGGTAAGAGTCAGGTCAATGAACTGAGATTGAAATGAACGTCTGAAATTTTTGTAATGAAAAAAATAAATCACAACCCTCAATTCATTTTTGCCTCTAACAAGTTTAGAGAACACTGCACAGACACAGCCTGGGTGAAGGGAAGGACCTTTTCTTCAATTTCAGTTTTATAGGTTCTTGGACCCACAGAAAAGACTCTGAAAAGTGAACCACAGTGAAGTTCCTCTGATCACAAACACTCTCTGCTCATGCTTGAAGGCCAGAGTTCTCCTTGCCAGCCCAAAGGATTTCTTTTGATTGGTCTGAAAACTGAATTACCTTTCTTTAGGGAACAATAGTAGTGATTAGATTTTGGTCACAAAATTAAAACTAGATCCTATATCAAATTACTTAGTTATATATAAATGGATTTAAAATATTCTTCCTTTCTTTCTTAGTGAATGGGGTGTACATAGTTTTTATGTATAAATTTTCATAAATGTACTTAGGAAAAATAACACACACACACAAAGCTGTCTTTTAGCTTTTTCTCATAGGAAGATGTTTTCTCTTTACCACTTTGAACATCAAGAAAGGTACATTCTTTCCTCAGATATATCTCATATTTTTTGATATATGAGACAAGTGTCATTTGCATCAGAGAAAGTCTTCAGTGACACCTTTGACTAACCTCTCAGCTGCAAAGCATCCAGAAACTCAAGATTATTTGTCTACCTATCTGTATTGAGGCACAAAAGAGGACTGGTGAGTCTGTCCTTTGGATTAATCCTGGCTGGTCTCTACCTGTCTCTAAGCCAGCAGTTCTTAACCAGTGGGTCGCGACCCACAGGAACTGTATTACAGGGCTACGGCATTAGGAAAGTTGAGAACCACTGCCCTAAGCCAACCAGGCCCTACACTTGGGGTGGGTAACCACATTCTGATTCTCTCATATATCTTTGTAGAAAGAATGTGAAATGGGGGAGGGTTCAATATGTATGAAGCCCTTTGTTGTATTTAGAAAAAAGAAAAAAAAAATGACTGCTTGTCACACTGGCTCCCAAAACCCATTGAAACCACATGGGCACTTTTATGTTTCCAGTTATAAATAAGCCCTCTAATTAAATCTTCAATAAAATCTGAACCCTAACTCCAAGTTCTCAAAAACAATGATGATTTGAATCCTCTCCTGTCCTACTCAAGCACTACCTCTTTAATGCTTTCAAAATACTGTCATCATTCATTTCTTCAATGAATAGTTGCTGACACTCTTTCTTCCTCTTTGGAAGAATGGCTTTTTTCCCCACTTACGCATTCTCATCTTATTGCTTTTTAATACCTGCCTCAGGGGCTTGTTCTAAATTCTTATTAGAAGACGAGCATGCAGGGGGGCGACACATAGGACTTCTGACACCCTAGCACATCACCTGCCACAGGAAGGAGTCACGATTCCCAGGAGCAACTCCACCAACCTAGCTCAATGATTTTTTAAACCAACTTATTTAGTTTTATAATCCATAATCAAGACTGATGAGGGATAGAAAGGAGTTACAGGGAAGTGGAAGACAAGTTTGGCTTCCTAGCCAAGAAAATTTAAAAGAGCCCTAAACAGAGTTTTGGTCATGATTCAGTTAACCAACTGTATAAAATAGTTTCCGGTTTGTAACCCAGAGTGGGGTAACGGTCATAGTCACAGAAGGATGCACACCACAAATGCCACCAACATCACAGGACTCACAGTCACCACCAAACAATTATCAAGAAAATAGCAGGTAGCAATCACGATTATTAAAACATAAAGGATAAGGCATGCATGTGGCAACCGAGGAAATCTGTGACCAATGAGAAGCAGATACGAATACTTAAGGACCTAGGGGGACCAATAGAAACTCTAGATAATTTCAGGAGGAAGGAAGATGAGATACTAATGTTTGCACACTGCCTTTGTGTGGCATCTTGTCTCACTAGCAAGGGGGACCGTTTTCCTCTCTCTGGGAAAGTCTCTGCTTTATCTATGCTTTAAATAAACATAGTTGAAGCACATGCATCTATGCAGCTGTTCTGCTGCACTAGGAAAACCCCGGTGCTTTATTTTCACTCCCCCTTTACTTTGCTCTGACTCTAACTCAGCTAAATTTGCTAGTTCTGCTGAGTCACCCCAGGGCCTGGTCCACTGGACAGCTTGAGGGTCTTAGAACCCCCTGAGAAAGACCATTTCTTTTCTAGATTTTATCATCAATAAAATGCAATTTATTTACCTCATGTAAACATGTGTATTGTATATGATATGGAGCAACCTTCTCTTCTCCTTTTATTTCCACATTGATTTTCAATCGAATGGCTCCAGATACAGCTGACTTATCTGTCCGTTTCTCTGGGAAAGCAAAAAGGAATTGGTTAGTCATCTTTGACAAGACCATGTTCCTTATACACGTTCTCAAAAGCTTAAAAAAAAAGACATAAGTGGTTAAAAGCCATTTTTCTAGGTCAAATTTTATTGTTAAGCAACCACAATTATTTCCCTAAATATAATTTGAAATGTCCTGCTCTTGTGTGTCCTGCTCTTGTGTCCTGCTCTTGTGTTGTTGTGATTGTCAAACTCTCTGACAGATACTTCAAATAGAAAAGCCTCCTCAGAAGGCTATTCTGCTATTCTCCTGCTCTTCTGATATAAATGTCTGTGTACTTGATCGGTTTATACAGTAAGCTAAATATATTTAAAGCAAGACAACTAAGTATAAAGTTAACCATGAAAGTATCTAAGATCTACCACTGTTGTTTCTTCTCTTCTTTTGTGTACTTTAAAAGATGAGACAAAGCTTTGGTTAGCAAATAAAAAAATAATAATTTTCATTATCAGTGATTCCTAAAGATCTATAGTCTAAAAATTGTGTTTATATGTGTTAGATTAACTGGTCATTTGAATTGAATCAATGTGTGGTCAATGTATTGAGTATGTGTTCAAAATGAACTGCACAGTAGCTTTCAGAGAAATAAAGGCCTGGTTACAGAATCCCTAGGATGTGATTGTAGTATGTGTGAAGGGGCAAGCTTCACACCTATTTCACAAATGAAAAACAGCATTAAGGTATAGTGGCCCAGAGTCAGTGCTGGCCACTTTGAGAATTGGCCCTCTTTGTAAACATATTGTTTAGCTATACAACGTACAGTTAAATCACGAAGGCTACTTTCCTCTGTGGAAGGCCTGCTGACTTCTAATTGTTATAATTTATTAGTCGTGTTGCAAAGTTTCTTTTAGGAGTGCTAGGATCCAGAGAACAAAACCTCAACAAATACTAAAGTTCTCTGCTGGGGCCAAGAGAAATGCAAGTCCTGGAACTTTTTGTCCACTCACCTTTTTCCAGAGCTCCAAGGGGAGCTTCCTGGATTCTTTGATTTTTTAACTGTCATCAAGCCAAAGGAACTATGGGGAGGAGGCTTTGCTTGGACACCCAGGGCTTTTGGCCAAGTCTTCCTTTGTGTGGTAGAATGACTTCTAAGTGATGAGGAGGGAGGGAAGTGCACTACAAAGACGGAAACTAGGGTATTTGTGGATTGAACCTATTCAAGGATTTTACACAAAGTTTTGAAAGTGAAAACCTCTTCTCTCTCTCTCTCAAAAGTTAAACATCAGCAATGAGAGCACATAGGTCTCGACTGAAGATGAGCTGCAAAAGGCTTGCAATACTGTGTCACGGCATATTTTCACTTCCGACTGGAGGAGATGTTCAGCCTGAGAGCCGGATAGCTCGCCCATTAAGGTTCCGTGGCAAACTGAATATAACCACACACGTTTTGTGAAACCAAAAAAATCGAGAGACTTCTGCTCTGAATTATAGCTTTACTGTTTCAACCCTAGGACATGTTAACTTGTCCATGATAGAGAAGAATCCACATACAGGTAAACATCTTTAATAATAAGAATTAATTTGTGAATGTTCCATAGAGTTAATGGTCTAAAGTTTATCCTCAGCTAACATCTCGGTTTTCAGATATAAAGTTTGTTAATAATTTAAACAGTATATGGGAGGGTGCTCATTATAAAAGAGGTAAAAATTCTACTCCGAGAATGCAGGAGTACCAACTGGCTTTAAGAAGGATTTCTTAAAAAATATTTTGTGAAAAGGAGTTCTTAGTCTAGCGTGAATCATTTGTGCCAAGATAAATTAAATGTGTCTTTTTCTTTAAATTATATAGAGTTTTATGACATTCTTCCTTTGTCAACTATTATGTGACTTGAGGTATGTAGGTTTTAAAAAAGTCAAAAGTATTTTTTAATTTGGTTAGCACGTATCAATATCCTAAATGATACCTATGTGGAATCCTGGGACTGTGTCACTTGTTTTCTGGCATATGACCAGCCAGCCCTCAATAGTTCATAGAATATGATTAAGAAATCTTTAGGTCATGTCCTTTACAGAAACTGGGGTGACCCATACGTTTTTACTATTATTAAACCACCACTGGAGAGTCTAGGTTTTGATGAAATTCTAATAAAGGGCAAATTAAAACTCGCCTTTATTTAATTTCTGATTCCATAATAAAATTTCATTTAAAAAAAATCACATCAATTAAATATATTCTCAATAGCTTCGTCATCAGAGTCAGCCTGATTCCATACACTTAACCTGGCTTTACCAATTAAAATCTACTTTTATATCTTTATTTAAAAGAAATCGAAAGTACACATTTCCTTTATTGCCAAAATTTCATTCATAGTGCTGAAGAATATAGGTCAAACAGCATTAAATCATAGGCTGATTATTTGTTTCCTATACATTTGACAAAGGTTTTTGAAGCAATATTTTATGGATTAAAAATTAAGGAGGAAATGGGCAGCTCAAAGGAGTAGGGCGCTGGCTCCATATGCCAGAGGTGGCAGGTTCAAACCCAGTCACGGCCCAAAAAAAAGAAAAATTAAGGAGGAAATAATATTTTTCTCCTGAAAGATATTTAGTTGATTCTCGGAAAGCGTTTTTCTTTTCAGTTCAAATTGACCAAAGTCTTTCAATAATACTGACTCTAAATTAATAATAGTCTTTAATAGCCCATGAAAATAATCATCTGAAATCCAATAGAATGCTCTAGAAAGGCACTGGAAATTTTATTTTTATGGGAATACAATACATCTTGCAAATACCTGGAATGTTATTTAACTTGTTTTCAAGCAGATATGAAAATAATCACCTAGATTGTACCAGACATCCATTTCTCCACTCAGGGTCCTCACTTCCACAATGGTTTGTCCCAGAAAATCATCTGACTCCTTTTTGAAATGTTGCTTGACTCTGGATTTAATGTCATCATCTTCATCCCACACTCTGACTTTGATTCGATCTGTGGAGTTATGACACTCACTAAAAATAAATGTGGATAAGTTAACAACCATTGATCACTGCTCTAAGGGGCATCTGATGTTTGTAACTTATTTTAAATCTATCTCATTCAGAAAGTCTTAGTCTATTACACAATAATTGAAATTTCCCACCACCCCATAGGACGTTGTTTGTATACAATGCAGATATATTGAAGAAAAAATTGGTTAAATAATCTTAATAAGAAAGAAATCTAACCTGATTTCTCCCATCCTACTTCCTTTATTAGAACTACATATAATCAAATATGGGTCGGAAGTATTTAAGTGGCATATTTTCACTGATGCCATTCTTCTTATCTGCACGTTACCCTGACCAACGTATCCATGCTCTGAAAATTCTTCACCATAAATATTCAAATTAGCTTACATTTTATTGCAATGGATATTGAGAAAGTGGACTATAATGACAATACAGAGTATTTGTGCAAGTACTTGATAAACTAGAAATCCCAGTAAACACAGAAGGTATTGTTCAATCAAGTCAAATTAGAGCAAAACCCTTCTGAGTTAAAGAATAAACTAGACATTCTATTCTGTCCTTAATTCCTAGGGTTTCTCTACTTCCTTTCCTTGAGGCAAGCACTGAGTATTGCCTGTACCTATTGTGGTCTTTCCTGACAATATGACTTTCGTGTATACCTTTCTCATGTTTCTTGGCCTGTTAACAAATCCTTCTTTAAGAATCAGCTAGTCACCTGCTCTAAGTCACGTTTGCTAAAGTTTAATGAACCAGTTAGTCGTGATGCACTCTGAGCCTCCAATTGATTCAGCACACGCATTCCCTCTAGCACTGGGTCTTTAGCTCAGGGTTTATAGATGAATCTTCCTGAACTTTGATTAGAGAAAAAACAATCTCATCATTTTAATTTTTTAAATTATGAATATAGGCAACACATTATCACAGTACTTAATAATAAAACCACAGATATTTATAAAGAACATTAAGAATCTTATAAAACTTGAAATATTATTATTATTTTTTGGTTTTTTTGAGACAGAGTCTCACTATGTCACACTTGGTCGAGAGCTGTGGCATCATAGCTCAAAGCAACCTCAAACTCTTGGGCTAAGTGATTCTCCTGCCTAAACCTCTCAAGTAGCTGGGACTACAGGTGCCTGCCACAATGCCTGGCTATTTTTCTGTTGCAGTTGTCATTGTTGCTTAGCAGGCCTGGGCTGGGTTCGAGCCCACCAGCATCAGTGTATGTGGCTGGCACCGTAACCACTATGCTATGGGTGGAATGCCAAAACTTGAAACATTATTTATGTGTAGCTACCATTACTGTACTAATACTATATTTCAATATAATTTTTTTTTTTGAGACAGAGTCTCACTCTGTTACCCTGGGTAGAGTGCTGTAGTATCACAGCTCACAACAACCTTAAACTCTCGGGCTCAAGTAATTCCTCTTGCCTCAGCTTCCTGAGTAGCTGGATCTATAGGCGCCCACCACAACACCTGGCTAGTTTTTTTATTTTTTTATTTTTTGGCCAGAGCTGGGTTTGAACCCACCACCTCTGGCATATGGGGCCGGCACCCTACCCTTTTGAGCCACAAGCACCACCCTAGTTTTTTTATTTTTAATAGAGACAGGTCTCACTCTTGCTCAGGCTGGTCTCCAACTCCTGAGCTCAGGCAATCCACCCACCTTGGCCTCTGAAAGTACTAGGATTATAGGCATGAGCCACCACACCAAGATAATTGATTTTCTTTTGAATTCTATGAATTTTATCTTTTTTTTTTAGAGATAGAGTTTCACTCTGTCACCCTCGGTAAACTGCTATGGCATCACAGCTCACAGCAATCTCTCCAACTCCCAGGCTTAGGCAATTCTCTTGCCTCAGCCTCCCAAGCAGCTGGGACCACAGGCGCCCACCACAACCCTGAGCTATTTTTTGTTGCAGTTTGGCCAGAGCCAGGTTTGAACCCACCACCCTCTGTAAATGGGGCCGGTGTCCTACTCACTGAGCCACAGGCACTGCCCAATGAATTTTAATATATATATTTTTAAAAATCCCTAATTTTGAAAAGGTATCCATTGTCTTCACTAGAGTGCCAAATAGGTTCATGATGCAAAATAATTTAAGAACTCCTGACAATACAATGTTTCTCCCATTAAATTATGGAGGCTAAATAATACAGCATGTATAGGAAAAAAAATTAGAGTCTGACATGCCTCTATGAAAATTGCAGAACCACTATTTTTCCTGCTAATGCAGGAGACTTCAACACAGAGCATTTCAGTGATCACAGGGACATTCTGGTTTTCACAAACATTGAGAGACACTACTGGCAATCAGTGGGCTGGGTATAGAACAGTCTGGTTGATTTGAAACAGCCCATCAGGCATTAATAAAGATGCAAAAACCATTGGTAATTATCTTGGCTAATGACTTTCATTTTTTACAAAAAATGATCACATCTTTTTATGTTTTACTAGAAACTAAAATTTCCTGGAAACTGACTAACATGTCAATTGCCTATCAAAGATTTTGTTATTGTTGTTGTTGCTATTCTTAACTTTACCAAGGGTTGTTTTCCCTTTTGAGATATTACATCACCAATGTCAAAACTACTTAAATTATTTGAATCCAAATGTATCAATCTGCATTCGAAACTGTCACATTCACACTAAATCTTTTTTTGAGAGAGAGAGTTTCAAGTTGTAGCCCTCAGTAGAGTGCCATAGTGTCACAGCTCACAGCAACCTCAAACTCTTGGGCTTAAGTGATTCTCTGCCTCAGCCTCCCAAGTAGCTGGGACTACAGGCACTCAACACCATGCTTGGCTATTTTGTTGTTACAGTTGTCATTGTTGTTTGGCAGGCCCCGGCTGGATTTGAACCTGCCAACTCTGGTGTATGTGGCTGGTGCCCTTAGCCACTGAACTACAGGCACCGACCCCATTCACGCTAATTCTAACAGGTGAAAATCTATGCCCACTAAACACGTGTTCTAGGCTATATCCAAACCTTTACATATTGAAATGCATATAAGCATAGTTTCATTTCTCTTTTAGGTTACAGTTGGGGAATTATATTGATTTTTTGAATTATATTTATAGATTATAAGTTTGCAAACTCATTGTAGAAAAAATGCTACGTACCTCCTTTCTGAGTATCACTACAATCACCACTGAAGTACTCCCCTTGGCCATGTGGTGACCCATGAAGTATGTAGTATTTTTCTAGACCAGTTTATGAACTTAATTGATAGTCCTTCATAGGACAACAGCTCTAATGGCCCTTCCCGAAAAAGCGTTCCAAAATTGCTTTGAAGGGTAGACTAGATGCTGGGGTTGGTGCTTGGCTTCCAAGGGGGGTACTTCAAAGGTGACCATCGTGATACTCAGCAATGAGTATGTAGCACTTTTTCTAGGATGAGTTTGCAATCTTAACTGCCTGATCTTTTGTATATTATACTTAGTATAGTGAGGGAAAGGAAAGATAATACTAGTGTTCTTTCAAAACTTGTATTTAATATAAAGAATAAGTGATATTCATTGATGAAGGATAGATAGAAACAATATTGTGCTTCTTGTAAACACACTTTAACGATTTTGCTTATTAAGTTTTAGTCTCTGCAATTCTCATTCATTCTATTTCGTCCATTTTTTAATTAAATGAAACTTTAATTTTAGAATAATTTCATATTTATAGAAAAGTTACATCTCGGAGTTCCTATACCGAGAATCCCCTATCAGTACATTCACAATATTTATCACAACTAACACCGGTTCTATTTGTGTTTTCACATAAAGAATGGCCAGCTCCCACATGCCAAAGAGCTAGTTTTTGAGGACTATCAAATACAAACAAAGTTTGTCATCATGTTTCAGGTTTAAACTGTCAGAAACGTACATTTTTACCTCTACACAGAGTAAAGAGAGCAAAGGGGATACTGTTTCAAATACTGGAAAGTATTCAAGGGATTTGCAATGGGCATAAACCAGAGACTTAGTTTAAGATCGCTGGTGGAGAACTGTCACGTATGAATACACAAAATCTCCCAGCATTCTGCTCGCCCTTTGGCTACATCCTTCCTCATATTCCTCATCTTCCCAATACAGCAGCCAGACAGTCCCGACTCCTAGCCTCCTTTGCAGCCACAGTCCACACATTTGCCCTAAGATGTGACTCAAAACTAAGCAAAGTGATGCAACGGCCATATTCTTGGAAATTACATTTACTGGCAACAGTGGCAGTGGATGCTTTAGTACTTTGATATAGGGCTCTAGTATTTAGTCCCTGGGGGCAAAAGTATTGATCAGTGTTTTCTGCAAGGAAACCCTGCCATTGTTCTGACAGAGGGCTTTCTGTGGCTGACATTTTTTGACCTCTCCAATGATTCTTGAGTATCCTCATAGTCTATGAAATAATCTTCCTGTGTATAAACTAATCAAAGTGAACTATGCTGCTTCACAATTAAGAATGCTGACTGATGTCTCAATGTTTAAAGCCTGAAGGAGCTGCGAGTAACCGAACCTAACTGTGCAGCATTGACTCTGTGAAGGAGATGGGGTGAGGGGGTGGGGGTGGGGGGACACACAATGAAGATTCAACCACCCAGGGATGGGAAGCCAGTGCATTTTGATATGCAAAAGCAAAACAGCTGGTCAAACTGTCACCTGCTATGCTTAGAAACCCTGACCACCTGCCAATGGAGGCATTTTTATTAGTGGGAATAGTAGGAATAAAATTCCGAATGTTGATGTGTGCTTATTAAATCTTGTCACTGTCAAAATTATGTAAAAGATTAATCTGCTCAAACTCGATCTAAGCAGTCTGTAAGTGGAGATGCAAGGAAGCCCATCTGTGCCAAAAGAGGTTCCCTGGCTAGTGTCTTGCAATGTAAATTGACTGAAACAATCCTAATTTGGAACCCTGCAGGGTTGAGAAAAGCCAGTGCCCATATAATCAGAGGCTTCTAAGTATAACCCCAAAAAGGACCTAAAATTGTTACCCCGGGGCTTTTCCAGCA